TTGACCAGAATAGGTGCGCCTTACACTTTGGCTGGTCTGGCCCCTTGGAAGGCACGAAGAAGGCACTTTGTAGTATTTGCTGAGGGAACTCGGTTTTATTAAAGATGTAGGGCCCTTTTTATTGACCGTGTGGGAGGCCACCATTCTAATGCAAGTACAGACACAATGGAAGGTCTAATGCAAGGTCCGTTAGACCTTCAAAGCATTTTCCATTGATCTTTATAAAACACATTGGCCTCTTAGTCACTTCCTGTGTAAAATAAACTTCCCTTTTCCTTTTCTTGCTTTGAGGGTCTTGTTCCCTCATGAACTATCTATATTAAATAAAAGAAGTTTCATCTATCAGTAACAAAATCAACTGTGACACGACTTCTCCCTGTTCAAAAACCCAGAGATCCATAGCACATACAAAAACTTGCATCTCAGCGGGATAATCACCATGAATCACACTAGACACAATAATTATTTCTTTTAAATTTATGCCAATGTTCTCCAGTATAAGATCAACTGTTCCCTCAGGTGGTGGACCTGAAACTATTGCAGGAATTGGGATAGGTTTGTCAACCCTGATAAAAGTGACTCTTCAAAGTGCAAGGAGATCTAATCCTGCACTTTGCTTTGTTCCCGTGGTGTGGGACTTTATAACTTTTCAAGGAGCCACATTTAGGTTGCTGGATCTACTGCCGTGTTTGCTTCAGATAATGCTGCCTGATATTTTGACTCAGTAGTTATATTTCCTCTATTGTTTGGCCAGTCCAAGGAAAGGCACTTATCTGTATATTTTAGCGAAGGTGTACGACCCTTGTGGGTTTTACATCGGCAATGTCTAGTCCAATGTCTCCCTTGTAGGCGTCTCAGACAGGGTCCAGGAGCGGGACCCAAACCCTCCACATCAGAGTCGTACAGTTATATGACGTGCCCTGCTAGAGTTGCAGCACCTGTCCCTTTAGCTCCAGCAAGAACTACAATTTTTTTCTAGTATATCCCATTTTTCCACAGTTAAACCATTTTATATTATCCCCTCCTGCAGTATTAAAACCATCCTTAACTTGAGCCATCACGGCTCAATACCCTGACAAGCAGTTCCAATACCTTGACAAGCAGAACATACGTTGTCAGATCATTGGTTGAGTTTACAGGATTTAAATCTTGCTTGCAGTCTCTATCAGTATTTGCATATGTCAACTACAGATTTAGAATGGCTGTAACTTGTGTGTTTGAAACCTGTCTGTGAACAGTTCCTTGTAATCTAGCCACAAATTGGGTAAACTGATCCTTAGGGCATTGAAAGATATGTAATAAGAACTTAAGAGGAGTCCCTTCGTCTAGGACAGTTGCCCTTGCCCGTGATAGTAAATCTGCCAATTGCAAATATAGCTCATCAGGACTCGGGGTGGATCCCAAAGGAGCACATAGTATCCTGTCCCAGAAAGTCTCTCCTCGTTTACTTCCAGAAGTAGATTAGAACCTATTCTGTTTCTATGAACTTACTCCAAAATAAGACCTTTAGACTGTATATCAAAGTATAGAAATTGAGGGGTTGGGGAGATGGCTCAGTAGAATAAGAGCTTCCCTGGCAAGTGCAAGAGCCTGAGTTCAATTCCAGGTTCTGCCCCCGCCCCCCCCCCAAAAAAAAAGTGTAGGAATTGAGCGGAAGACAGGCACATCTGTGCTAGATGTCCGGTATCATTGCTGTCTAGTGACAGAGAGAGCATTCTGCTGAGCTCCTGCTGTAACGGGCTCCGCATCCCATTATTAACAACAGCTCCTTTTAGGCTTTTTGAGCTTCTGAATTTCAAAATGCAAATGAGATTAAAAAAACCTGCTCATTATGATTATTTTGCTGAGTTCCAACTAGGAGCCAAGTGGGAGTGCCAGGGATTCTCCTTTTGTAGCTGCTGTTTGAAATTAAAGTGGAGAGACCACATGAAAAGGTCATTTGCATGTGTATTATAAAAAGGTGTTCCATAGGTATGTTACAGGCTTACTTTAACCCATTTGACTTAATGCTCCAAAGTAACTGTAATTTAATGGTAATAGTATAGCAAATTATGATGAATAGCTTTACTTGTATGTTAAAAAAGTCATATGTTCACATGCTTATTCTGGGTATCAGAATTTAAGCAATTGTTAAAATGTATGAATGTCTTAATATACTGATTACAAAGCAAAAAAAAAGATAAATAAATAAATAAATAAATAAATAAATAAAAACTGTTGGTTTCTGGCTAGAGCTGCCTGGGATGCTCTTGTGCAAGGCTCCTGTTTCTGTCCAAGGTCCTGGGCGGCCTTTGGTTTCCTCTGTGTCTGAGTCAGAGGGTGGTTTTTTTTTTATTTTGTTTTGATTTTTTTTCTTTTATTAAAATATTTCTTAGGGCTGGGGAGAGGACTCTCAGTAGAATAAGCACTTTCCTGGCAAGCTCAAGGCCCTGAGTTCAGTCCCTGGTACCACAAAAATAAATAGAAAGAAAGAAAGAAGAAAGAAAGAAAGAAAGAAAGAAAGAAAGAAAGAAAGAAAGAAAGAAAAGAAAAGAAAAGAAAAGAAAGAAAGAAAAAAAAGAGGCAAGTGGAATGATTTCAGGGCTCCAGGAGGATGAAAGTCCCCTCAAAGAATTCGAGATTGTCTCTGAATTAAGACGAGAGATTCTGTGGGCCTCCCTTATTTACTTAGTTATCAGAAGAAGCATGGGGAATACTCAAGAATGGCAGATCCATTCAGGGACTTCTCCAAGAAAGGCATTAAGGTAGTCCATCCAGCAGTGAGAGGTGTGCTACAGTCTTTATCTAGTTGAGGGTGGATCCAGGTGTCCTTGGCTGTGATCTTGTCTTATCCTTTGAGGCTGCCTGTCTTCACCCACCACTACAGGCCTCAGCACAGAGGTTTACTTACTCTGAGCCCACCAACCATTTGCAGAAGAGAAGCCTCGGCCTTGGAAAGGCTCACAAGGCACCATGGAAAACTGATCAGTTATTTCAGTCCTGCTCAGGACTGCTTTGTACTGGTTGCCCTCAGAAACTGACTGTCAACCTCTCTCTTACAAGGGCCACTGTGACTATGTGGGACCCAACTGGACCTCAGTGGGGTGATCTGGGTCCATCTTGCCAGCCTCAGACCTTTCGCTTCATCAGTCTGCAGACCTGTTTGCAGTTACGGTCCCATTCTCAAGTTCCAGGGATCGGCTCAGAGTGTGGAGATTTCAGAACTTGGGGGCCTGGAGTCAAGGGTATCATTCTGGCTGGCTTCAGTGACTTGCAGCATGGAATTGGTGAAATTCAGGTGATGGGATCCAGGGACAGAGTAGGAAGATCGAGAAAACTTACTATGACAACCAAGGTTACCTGTTGAAACCTAGGACTGAGCCCTCTCAGCCTCATTTATACAGGAGCAAACCCCCCGTGAGTGTGTGTGTTTGTGCGCGCGCGCGCGCGTGTGTGTGCTGGTCACATACCCACATTTAATTTTGTGGTCTCTTTTCCACAGCCACCTGACCCTGAACCCCTAATTGAGATAAGTATTATATGGGTGGTGGCAGGAGATTTCATTTATAATGGTGGGTGTTGTAGGTAGCAGCTGGTGGTCTTCTCTGACTTAAATAATCTAACATGTTGAAAGGCTTTGGGTTTAGCTCAGTGATAGAACAAGTGCCTAGAAGTCTCTGGATTTGACACCCTGCACTACAAAGCAAAGCAACAAAAGACACACCTATTGTGTGGTGGTTCATTTCCACCCCAAAGCTTCAGAGACTGTCTGCTCTGCTCCCTTTGCTTCTTGAGGGGCCTGCATGCTTTGGTTCAGTCTTCTTTCTCTGGCTCTAAAGCCACAAGCTTCTTGGGACTGGGAATGTAGTTCATAGCAAATTACCTGCTTGATATTCTTTATCTACCACCAGGCAAAGCACTCATGAAAGATAAAAGTCAGCATCTTCTTGCTTTTGTTGTCGTAGCCTCTCCTTTGTCCCTTATCAGGCTCAGACTGTCCCTTCATTATTGAGGGACTGATCACATCTACAATGTCCCAAACAAGTATACATGGCATAGGCTCCATAAACAGATGCTGGCAGGGTGATTTCAGAGTTCCAGGAAGATCAAAGCCTCCACACAGAATATGAGATTCTCTTCTGGCTAAGATCAACAGCTTCTCTAGAAACCCAGCATTTATGCGTTATCAGAAGGCATGGGAATACTCAAGAAGGATGGAGCCGCTCGAGGACTTTTCCAAGGAAGAGATTAAGTTATTCCACCCAGCAGTGATATGCCTGAGGCTGCAGTCTCTATCTAGATGAGGTTGGACCCTGGTGTACCTGGCTGTGGTCCTGCCTTATCCTTCGAGGCTTTCTGGCTTCACCCACCATTACATGCCTCAGTGGGGATCAGTGACTTGCAGAGGTTCCCTTACCATGGAGCACTGTTCGTCTCCTTGCAAGAAGCCTTGGTCTTGGACACACTTGCTAATAAACATGCAAAGCCAGTTGGTTCATTGAAGTCCTGCTCAGGGCTGCTTTGTAGTGATCTCCATCACACCTTGACTCCCCTCCCAACCTCTCTCCTACAAGGGCTGCGGTGATCACATGGGATCCAGCTGGGCCTCAGTGTGGCTACCTGGGGTCCATCTTACTGGCCTCAGAGCCTTCTCTTAATCACATCTGTGGACCCTTTTCTGGTTAAGGTCACACTCATAGGCTCCAGGGATCAGATCAAAGTTTGGAGGCTTCGGAAATTGGGGGCCTGGATTCAATGGTGTCATTCTGGCTCCAGTGCCTTCCTCACAGCATGGAGTGGCTGAAATGCAGGAGATGGGGCCCAGGGATAGAGCAGGAGGATCTAGGGAAATTGCTCTGACAGCCAAGCTTACCGGGAGAAACCTAGGGTGAACCCTGTCAACCTCATTCACATAGTAGCACCCCCTGCAGAATGAGTGTGTGTGTGTGTGTGTGTGTGTGTGTGTGTGTGTATACTTCACAAACTCCTACATTAAACTTTGTGGTCTCTCTTTTTGATAGGAACCTGAGCCTGAACCTGAACCTGAAACTACTGTAAGTGGTATGTGGGTGGTGGCGGGAGATTTCATTTGGAATGGCAGGCTGGGTGGTAAGTGGCAGCTGGTGGTATCTTATGTGCACAGTTCAGCCTGTTGAAAGGCTTTGGACTTAATTCAGTGGTAGAACAAGTGCCTAGAAGACTCTGGAATTGATGCCCAGCACCACCAGGAAGAGAAATAGCAGACACCCTAAGTTCACTTGTATCCTAAAGCTTCGGGGAGAGACTTCTCTATTTCCTTTCAGCTCCCTGAGGGGCCTGCACGCATTGGACCGGGCCCCTCACTCTGTCTCTCAAGCTGTCAGCTTCTTGGGTTGGGGCTGTAGCTTAGAGTAAAATGACTACTGGGTTTTCTATGTTGAACACCACAGAAAGTACAAATAAAAGAGGAAAAGCCAGTGTCTCCTTGCTTCTGTTGTCAAACCGGATGCTGAGGGTCCCACCCCTTCATTAGAAGAGATGTTGTGATTACAGGGGATGCACTGTGCTCAGGGTGGCTGCCGCAGGCCCATCTCCCCAGCCTCAGGTCCTTGACCTAATCACTTCTGCAGACCCTTTTGCAGTTAAGGTCATATTCATAGACTCCAGGGATCAGAGCAGGGAGTAGATGTTTTTGAATGGGGGGAGTTGGTAATGGTTGGAGTGGTCGGGCAGGAGATCAAGGTGTCAGTCCAGCTTCAGTGCCTTTCTTGCTACATGCAAAGGCTGAAAGGTATGCTATGGCAGGCAGGGACAGGTCAGGAAGATCTAGAAAGACGTCTATGACAACCAAGGTTATGAGAAGAAACCCAGAGATTAACCCTCTCTACCTAATTCACATAGAAGCATTGACAGCAGAATAAATGTGTGTGTGAGTGTGCACACATAACACTCCCACACTGAATTTTTTGATGTCTTTTTCACAGGCTCCTGAAGCAACATCCTCATCTTATGTAAGTGGGGTGTGTGTGTGTGTGTGTGTGTGTGTGTGTGTGTGGCATTGGAGGGTTCATTTAGAGTGGCGGGGTGGTGGGCGTGGCAGTTGGCGGTGATCCTTTGAGTTGCATAACCAACAAGGTTCCCTCATTAAGCTGAAATGTTAAAATACTCATAAAAATTAGAAGGGGGCAAGCCAGATAGCTCAGCGGACTAAAGTGCTTGCTTAGGTAGAGCGCAGTGGCTGGGGTTTGATCCCCAGAGTGCTGTGCCAGTCCTGCCCCCGGGTTGCGCTGAGACCTGCAATTGAGACTGGGCGTGGTAGCGTGCACCTGTAATCCCTGCGCTTGGGAGGCTGCAAACAGGGCAATCACTGCAAGTCCAATCTACATAGTGAGACTCTGTAGACCCTGTACTAAATACATTAAAAAAAGAAAATTAGGATAACTTTGGAAGGAGCTTCCAACATACTATGGTCGCTACAGTGTGAATGAAATATATGGTCTTCTCTTGTCACCTAGAAAGCTATAGTGGCTGCCAGAGTTTTTTCAATGACACTGGAGGCCCCCTGCATGGGGAACACTGGGATGTTTTCCCTTGGTGTTTAAGGAACAAAGTAAACTTGTCCTGGCTTCCTCTAGAAATTATACTACAAAAGAAGAAAGAAAGAAAGAAAGAAAGAAAGAAAGAAAGAAAGAAAGAAAGAAAGAAAGAAAGAAAGAAAGAAAGAAAGAAATTATGCTACTACCAAACATGGCTTAGACTCAGCAGATGTCCAAGCCCATAGCAACTGGCACAGGATTCTCCAGTCCCATGCTGCTCTCTGCTGTCACTGCCTGACCTGTCCTGTTCCTCCCAACAGCCAATGCCTTTCTTCACCTCAATCCCAGGTGCGCTGCAGCCATGCAAAGTGATCACTGTGTCAGGCACTGTGCTCCGCAATGCTAAGAGGTAAGACAGGGCCGCCAGTGCACTGTGGCTCCTGGAGATAAGGGGAGGGGAGGGGGCTTAGAGCAGGGGACAGACAGACTTTATGTGATCTGCGCTCTGCAGGTTCCATATCAACCTGCGTGCTGGGCCTGACATCGCCTTTCACTTCAACCCTCGATTCAATGAAAGATGTGTGGTCCGAAACACTAAGATCAAGGGCTCCTGGGGGCGAGAGGAGCGCTGGCTGTCTGGCAACATGCCCTTCACCCCAGGACAGAGCTTCACGGTAAGATCTTGGGGGTTCGCTGGGTGCAGGTGGACAAGGGGTAAGGGAGTCTGGGGGCACCTTGAAAAGGTTGGGGATCGATGCTTGTGATCCCAGGGTTGTACCACAAGGAAGAGAGATGGGTAGCACATTATTATCATGCTATGTTTATTGTCCCCCAAGGAGGTGTTACTATCTTCTCTTAATAGGAAAGCAAACGAAATCACAAGGCAAGTTCCTTGCCAGGGGGCACATCCCATTTGTGCCACATCAAACTCAAGAATGAAGCGCTGTCATGGATTTGTATATTTAGTCAGCAGCCCGTGTTCATAGATGCAGCCGGGAAGCAGGGACAGCAGGTCCTACCCATGGGGCTGTCGTCTGGTTGGGGAGGAGCCTAGAGAGCAAGGCACGAGCCAGCCAGCACACATCAGGACAGGGGCTCTGGGTTGGAGGGACCCTCACTGTGGGGGCCGATGTGTAGGGGAAGGAGGGGCCTGTGCAGGGCTGCACTGCTAGCTGGAGAAAATAAGAGGTGTGCGGAGTAGCCGCAGGCCTGACCACCCCGCCTACAGTCAGATCACAAGAAGAGCTTAGAAAAACAAAACCAGAAACAGCCAGGTGCGTGGTATGTGGGGCTATAACAGTAGCACTTTAGCATGTCAGAGCAGGAGGGCCCCAAATTTGAGGTCAGCCCAGGCAGTTTAGTGACTTAGGGAGACTGTCTAAAGGAGAAAAATCAAAAAAATAGCAAAAGGGATGTAGCTGAGCATGAAGGCCCTGGGTGCCTTCCACAGTACCATGAAGAAGGAAGGAGGGAAGGAAGG